AGAGAAAATGTTTTGAGAAACGATGTACAAATGCGCTTTACACAATTGATGTGTGTATGGATTGGGATGACAGTTGTATGAGCCCCTAATAAAATGTTAAAAAAGAGAGGAAAAAAAGAAAAAGAAGAAATAAGAACATTAAAAAAATAAATAAATAAAATGGACTAGAGTCCGATTTCCTTCTTTCATAAAGAAGAGAATGGCATGAGCTATATAACTACAGATTTATTTTAAAGAGACATAGAGTGAAAGATACACATTTTTCTGAGTATGTTTCTAGCCACCTATCGAAGGATGCACTGGTGTCTCATAATGAGTCGGCTACAAGCAAGCAAGCAAGCAAGCAGATTCATTCTACACTATTCTGCATCTTGGAAGTTGTGTCATCTATTCAAAACTTGAATTTGTTAAAACATAACGTAAAATAAGTAACTATAGGTTTAAAAGGTTTTGCTTTATAAAGCCAAGAATGAGCCCATTTAAAAGTACATGCTTCTAAGCCTGTAATGCTATCACAGTGCCAAAGGTGTACTCTTGGAGATATCTGACTTAAGGGTGGAAGAATGTTAAGATTCTAATAAGTCTGACTGTAAAAAAAAACAAAAACCTTTAATTGAAAGAACAAATTTAAGAAGATAACTCCCTGGAATTGAAACATCTAAATTTCTTCCAGGTAATAAAATATCTGAATCATTCTAAAGATTGATTTTAATTCTCATATATATGGCAGAAACAACTCTCGCTTGTTTTAGAAATTTTTTTCATGATAAAATACTCCCCACTTGGCCACTCAACGGCAGTTTGCCTAACAACCGACTGCAGGCAGATAACAGGAAGGCTGTTCCCAACAGTGGAGTCAGCAGAAGACAGGCGTCCACTCCCCATACAGAGAATGGCAGCAGGATGTGGAAGCACTCAGTAGTCCTTTTTACCGATAACTAACAATAATGTTTATTTATCACAGATTTACCTTACTGGTTTTCTAAGGCTCATTCTAACATCAGTGTCTTCTCTGAGCATGTTGCAATGTATGGCAGAGGGCGATAAAGAGGATGAACTTTTAGTGCAAACAATCCAAAATGGAGGAATTTTCAACAAAGTGATTCAAGGTTGACTTTCCTTTGCTCAGAGGGGGCAATAAATGAAGTGGAAATGAGAAACCCCCCAGGGAGGAGACGGGACCGGTCTCCGTCCTTACCTCTCGAAGGTAGCGCACCAGGCGACAGAGGGAGCTCACCAGCGACAGGGTGAACCCTGTGAGCCCCTGACTGTTCTGGAGGCCCTTGACCTCGCGGCCCGTCCACCGCTCGTACTCTTCCATCTCATGCTCCACCTCCTCTATCATGTGCTTGAGGAGATCCAGGCTGGAGCTACTGTTAGTTCGACAGTCAGCAGCGGTTGTGCTGGTTGACAACATGTTTTCCTTCTGCTTGGAAGGAGCACGCAAATCCGGTTTTCTTTTCACTGATGGCAGAAATTGTTCATTTTTAAGGCCAATAAAAAAGTAACCCCAAAACTGCTAAAAAATAAAAACAAAACCCCCAAACTTTTAGACTGTTATCCATAATCTATGAAATGTTTTTATACACAGTATCACTATTACTTCTCATGAAAATCTGTACAGTTTTAGTCAGGTTTACTACAAAGGAGTGTAGGAGCCCTGGTAGTGCTGTGGATTAGCCACTGGGTTTCTAAATTACAAGGCTGGTGGTTCAAGCCCCCCAGTGGTTCTGTGGGAGAAAGATGAGGCAGGCTGCTCTCGTAAAAATATACAGCATTAGAAACCCTACATAAGGGCCAATATGAGTCGGCATCAACTCAATGGCTTAGTTTTTGTTTGTTTGTTTGTTTGTTTGTTTTTTTAAGTAAGTGTACTTGAACCCACCTTTCTATAGGGTCATTTGGGACAGAGACATTTCTCAGGTAACATTAATCAAACTCCTATTTAACTGGATCCAGCCTGACAAGATTAAGAGTAAACATTATTAAAAAAAAACAAAACGATAATGTCTGGGAGGCAGAATAGTAGCCAAAAGGTTGGCGCCCCCACAGAGAGGCACTTCCGAAGGCAGGCGTGGCTGTCTGCTTCTGAGAGGTCGCGGCCTTGAAAGCCCTCTCTACTCTGCACACAGGGGACACCAGGAGTCGAGTCCACTTGGGGACAACTAACAAGAAGTGCAGACTAAGATGGCTGTAGCGTTAGACATCTTAACTATTCATCTTTGTAAATTAAGGAAGCTAACCTTTATTTAACAGCTGTTTGGGCTTCCTGGCATTCAGCACTTGTCCCACAATATAGCTTGAGTCTAGAGTCTCGGAAGATTCTTCAGGCTGAAGCCTCGTGTGGATCCGCTTGACAGCACTGGTAGCATTCAGAGCAGCTAAAAGGAAGCACATTTCCAAATGTATTGCACCTCAAGTTAGCAATTTTTTTTTAAGTATTCAATTGATAGATCTCCCAATCATTTACTCAACTAGGCAAGAGCAACCAAAATTCAAATGACATTCCTTTAAAAAACTACTGTATGCAAGAACCCAACAAAGTGGGCTAGTGTTGAGTGGGAAGCAGTGCAATGGAGAAGCAAACCTCTGCTCACCTGAGGACGTAGCAGGTAGTGCAGTTGCTGGAGGGGGTGTTCTTTGTGACTGTGTTGCTATTTTCTGCTGAATATCAGTCCACAGTTGATTAATTAACTCAGAATTCTCTTCCTTCAGTTGGTGAAGAAACCTATAAAATAGATGACATAGGCATATCAAAGCCCTGGTGGTGCAGCAGTTAAAGCACTCAGCTACTATTGGAATTCTCCTTGGTTCGAAAACAGCAACAGCTCCTTGGAGATAGCTGTGGCAGTCTGCTTCCATCAAAATCACAGCCTCGGAAACCCTCTGGGGGCAGTTCTACTGTTTAGCATGTCACAATGACAGGGCTCATCCGACAGCCATGAGGGAATTTAAATTGTTCAACTCTTTGCATGTTTTATAGGAAGGAGCTTTTGCACAAGTCATTATGAAAAATAAAAGCAAAAGCTTTTCCTTTTAACTGACCGGACAGGTGGCCAAATGCCTGCCAGCTTACTGCTGGTGGTGTTAGGTGCCGACGCACCATAGAACAAAAACACAGCCTGGGCTTGTCCCACTGTGGTCATGCCTGAGTCCACGGCCGCAGCCACTGTGTGAGTGCATCTCTCCAAAGTCCTCCTTCTGTCTCCCAGCCCTCTATTTGGCCACGCATGATATCCTTTTCCAGGGACTAGTCTCTGCGGAAATAGTCTCGCCAACATCCTCACTTCTAAGAAGCATTCTGGCTGCACTTCTGTTTGTTCATCCGGCAGTCCACAGCATTGTCACTATTCTTCACCAGTCTACCTTATTCACTGTCTAACCTTCACACACATAAGAGGTGACTGAAAATGCCATGGCTTAGGTAAGTATGGCACACCTTAGTTTTTAAGGTGACATCCTTGTTCTTAAATACTTTCAAGAATGCATATGATTTCTTGACTGCTGCTTCCATGAGAATTGACTGTGGATTCAAGCAAAATAAAACCCTTGACCACTTTTGGGTTTTTTTCTCTCCACTGATTATTAGGCTGTCTATGGCCCAGTTGTGAGGATTCTGGCTTTCTTTGAGTTAGAATCCACACTGAAGAGTGCAGTCCTTAATCAGAACATGGAATGTACAACACGAGTCCCAGAAAAATTGGAAGTGATCAAAAAGTAAACGGAATGCATGAAGATCGATATTCTAGGCATTAGTGAGCTGGACTGGATTAGTACTAGCCATTTGGAATCAGAAAATTGCCTACGATTCTGCGAAGGACAAATTGAAAAGGAAAGGTGACCCAACAGATTGAAAAAAATTATAGAACAATATCATTAATACCACATATAAGTAAAAATTTTCTGAAGATCATCCAACAACAGATGCAGCAGTACTTTAAGAGGTTCAGGCCGGACTCAGAAGAGGACATGGAACAAGGGATGTCATTGCTGATATCAGATAGACTTTGGAAAGCAGAAAGAAGAGAGTAGCAGAAAGATGTTTACTTGTGTTTTATTAACTATGCCAAGGCATTCAACTGTGCAATCATAACAAACTATGGAGAGCCTTGAGAAGAATGTGAATTCCACAACACGTGGTTGTGCTCCTGCAAAAACTGTACATGGACCGAGAGGCAGTGTGTCAACAGAACACAAGAACACTACATGGTTTAAAATCAGGAAAGGTGTAGGTCATGGCTGTATCCTCTTACCATACTTATTCAATCTGCATGTTGAGCAAATAATCATAGAAGCTGAATTATCTGAAGAAGACACAGCCTTGCTTCTTTCAAGTGAAAAGGACTTGAAGCACTTGCTGATGAAGATCAAGCATTTCTGCGTTCGGTATGTATACCACTCGATGTGAAGACAACCCCGATTCTCACAAATGGACCAATGGGCAACGTCATGACAAAGGGAGGAAAGACTGAAGTTGTCAAGAATTTCATCTTGTTTGGATCCACAGTCACTATTCAATGTTTATGGAAGCAGCAGTCAAGAGATGAAAAGATACAATGCATTGGATAAATCTACAACACAAGACTTCCTTAGAGTATTGAAAAGCAAGGATGTTACTTTAGGACTAACGTGAACCTGGCCCAAGCTGTGATATTTTCAATCGCCTCAGATGGATGTGAATGAAAGTTGGAAATCAAGTAAGAAAGACCAAAGAAAATTCAATGTGTTTGAATGGTCCTGCCAGCAAAAATGCACTGGACTTCCAAAAGAACACATCAATCTATCTTGGAAGAAGTTCAGCCAGAAGGCTTTTTAAAGGAAAGGATGGTGATACTTTGTCTCCCACACTTTGAACATACAGTCAGGAGAGACTCTTCCCTGGACAAGGACATTATGCTCGGTAAGCCCCTCACAAGATAGACTGACACACACATTGCAACAATGGGCTCAATGACAACAATTGTGAGGATGGTCCAGGATCAGGCAGTGTTTTCTTCTGTTCCACATACGGTCACTCTGAGACTGAACCAACTTGATGGCACCAACAACAACATATGTATACATGTATGTGTGCTGGCATTGGAAATACCAGTGACATAGCTGCCAGCATCACAGCAGCACGAAAGCCACCACGGTATGATAAGCTGACAGACAGACAAGCATAGATGTAGAAATACAGATAGATAAAACCACTGGGCCCAAATAACAAAATTTCTAAACACCAAAAGAAAATTTTTTAAATGAACAGAGAAGACTTATTACATAGAAAGAAAAATAGTAATTATAATACATATACCTATTAAGCTATAAAATATGACATAACTTAAGATAAAATTGATATAACTTATCAGCCATATCAATAAATAATTTACTCCACCAATTTAAAAATAGCTTTATAATTGTCTAGCAAAGCAAGATCCAACTCTATGCTGAATACAAGATACACACAATACAAATAACTTAGAAAGCCTAAAAAGAAAAGAATGAGCCAAGATAAACCAGTCAAATGGAAACAATGCAGTTTCATTCTCAATGTCAAGCTAGAACTCAAGCCAAAAAAGATTACATGTGATGCAGAAGGACACTTTAAATGCTGGAAACTTTCATTCACAATGAAGACATAGCAACTACAGTTATCTATGTACAAAAAAACACACAGGAATTGCCTTTGACAGAAGGTCTTTAACACTAAACACAATTAGACATATTTAAGAAAAACATAAAAGAAATAAACACTCAAAGTAGGTTTACTTAACATTTAAATAGTAGTACAAATAAGTAAGGATCTAGAAGTCAGTAACAGAGTGAGGTAGATCATATGGCTGTACACATAGAATATTATACCTTGCTAACAAAGAATTCTCAAGCACACACGGAACATTCACAAAAATGTATCACAAATTAGGTCACAAAGGACGCATCATTAAGTTCTACAAGGTGAAATATTATAATCCACACTCAAAATTCAATGTAATAAAAATAGATAATTTGGAGGTTCCCACAAGTTAAAAAAACACCCTTTTACAAAGCCACTCATATCCGGGGATAAGAGAGGAACTTCAAAAAGTTCGTGGGAAAGTGGATTGAAAATCCAACATAACATTTAGAAGATCTCTCATATAGACTCAAATCATCTAATTTCTAACATAATAAAATACTACCTATCAGAATGTAAGGAACTCATTTAAAACAGCGATCAGAGGAAATTCCAGAGATTTAATATGTTTCTCAATTAAAAATTAAAGAGTGAAAACAAATATATTAAGCAATCAACAAAAAAGGCTAGAAAATCAACAAGGTAAACCCAAAGAAAATGCAAGGAAGGAAAAAAAGACAAATGCAAAAACTGATGTGGTTAAAAGAAAAAACAGAAAACCAGTTTTAATTAATGGACAAAAATCTTGTCTCTGAAAAATTAACAAAGACAAACCATTAACTACTTTTTTTTTTTAAAGGACTGGAACCCAAATATATAAAACAAGAAATTATAATGGGGACAATAAATTCTGAAACAGAAAAAAAAAAAGGCTTTAAAAACATAGAGATTATTTTAACTCCAATGAGCTAGAATCAACTCAGCAGCTATAGGGTTGGTTTGGGGTTTTCTATGGGTGCAACGTGTTCTAAAATTATCTTCTATGTATTATAAGATTAAGTTGTTGTTCTTTTTTGCTCTTGTCACTGGTTGGCCTCGTGTAATCTTCACAATAGTTGGTGTACTTAAATCCATTGTTTGGGTCACCTTGTTCTTTCAGTGACTTCCGGCCTAGGGTCTAACAAACAACATTCTGTTGTGTTCCAAAGGATTTTCAATGGCTAAATTTCACAAGTAGGTTGCTAGGCCTTTCTTCTCGTCAATGTTACTCCGGAAGCACCACTGAAACATGTCCACCATGTAGTGGTGTGGCTTCTAGCATCACAGCTATATAAGCCAACAATTTCTAGTAGTTGTTATTCCAGATTAAAAGAGATTAAACAAATGTGAAAACTAAGTAAGTGGTCGTCATTGGTTCTTCAATTTGAAAAAAATGAATGGCCATAGTAAAGTCTATCAGTAGGACAATAGGAGAAATATTTTGATAGCTGGATTCTGGTTGTGAAAATGAATACATTCGCAACCTATGAGGGAAAATCCTAGCAATTGTTGACTTGTGGAGGAAAATACATATAAGTTCTTTGTATTATTCTTACAACTTTCAAAAAATTTTTTTAATTCTCTTTTTTTATTCTTACAACTTTTTGGTAAGTTGATATATTTAAAAATAAAAACAAATAACACCCTTACGAGGGTGGTGGGAGGCACAGGGGGGAGAGGAAAAAGAGGAGCTGATACCAATGGCTCAAATAGAAAGTAAATGTTTAGAAAATGATGATGGCAACCTATGTACAAATATGCTTGATACAATTGATGTATGGATTGTTGTAAGAGCTGTGAGCACCCCCAATAAAATGATCTGTAAAAAAACCTCTGCCATTAATGGTGGTTCCAACTCACAGCAACTCTGCCGGGCAGAGTAGAACTGCCCCCCAGGGTTTCCACAGCTGTAAACCTCGATCACAACAGACTGCCCAGACGCTGGTGGGTTCAAACTGTCAGTAAGAGCTTAGCCACTGTCCGACTAGGGCTCCTGATGTCAAAAGAGAAAGCTCAACAATATACTCCCAGATAATAATTATAATATACTCCCAGTTAATAATCACGATAATGCATTTATAGGTTTAGTATTAAGATAGCAAATGGACATTGGGCCTCCACTCAAGTACAACCTCAATGCAAGAACACTTTGTCCTATTAAACTGGCATTCCATGATGCTCACCTTCCCGAGATGATCGCTGAAGACAAATGGGTGCATAAGCAAATGTGGTGAAAAACGCAGATG